AGGGTAAAAGGAGCACATATGAACTGGATCACAGCTGACCTCATCCAAATGTACCAGTTTCGGGATTCTTTGTGGTCAAAGTTTAAGTGTACTGGCTCTATGAATGATCACTGTGCATATAGACAATGGCGAAATATATGCACAAAACAGACAAAATTGGCCAAGGCCCAATATTTCTATGAAAATCTGAACAATAACATCTCAAACCATAGAAACTTTTGGAAAGTCAAATCCACTCCCAACCCTCCACTGTCAAAGTGGGTAACCAAACACTGCAACTTCCCTTAGATGTAGCAAATGCCTTTAACAATTATTTTGTCAGATGCTCTACTGCCCTGATTTCCAAGCTAATAAATGACACGCATCCTGAAACTACAAATGTGGATCAGGTCACACTACATTTGCAAAGGCCTAATATAGACAAGTTTATTTTTAGACCTGTACCTGTTAGTGTCATTAAAAAAGATCTTAATAATCTAAAAATGAAAAACCAGTCGGGACAGGATCAAATCCCAGCAATGCTGTTGAAGCTCAGTGCGCCAGCAATTGCTAAACCCGTCACAACTCTAATTAACAAATCCTTGGTGTCTGGATACATACCCAAACTTTGGAAGACTGCGAGAGTAGTGTCTATCCATAAAAGTGGTGACACTACTTTGGTTTCTAACTATCGCCCAATATCATTGCTCCCGGTATTGTCAAAAATCTTAGAAAAATGTGTCCATACGCAACTATGTGAGTACCACCAACAATTAAACTATCTGACCCCTGATCAATCGGGCTTTTGCCAGAATCACTCCACTACAACTGCCCTCTTAAACGTTTGCAATGACATCCAAACTGGCATGGAACAAGGAGCCCTAACTGGAGCTATTTTCCTTGATTTTGCTAAGGCCTTTGACACAGTAGACCACGACATTCTACTGCACAAACTCAAAAACTCAGGTATTGGTGATCATTCACTAACCTGGTTTTGATTGTATGTATCAGATCGCTCGCAATATGTGTCGATTTCTGACAGTGACTCCCTCCCTCTCCCAGTCACGTGTGGTGTTCCCCAAGGTTCCATTCTCGGTCCCCTACTATTTACATTATTTATAAATGATCTGCCTAATGTCTGCAAATCCTCAAATGTACACATGTACGCAAATGACACAGTAATCTATGCGAGCAAATCCGATCTACCGCAACTTGAGACTGTGCTCCAAGACCAGTTTACAGAGGTAGAAAAGTGGATTGCAAAAAAAACTCTTCCTGAACACTGACAAAACTGTCACAATGATCTTTGGAACAGTACCTAAATTACACAAATTACACAATTCACACCTATCCATCAAAACAAATTCAAATGGCACACTGATCGCAGTCCACTCTTTCAAATACTTGGGTATGATGTTAGACCCCAATCTATCTTTTGGCCTGCAGATAGAAAAGCTTGCATCTAAACTTTTTTTCAAAACTAGGTGCCCTGTACAGAAACAAATCCTGCCTAAGCCCTACAGTAAAGGAACAGATTGTACAGCAAATGCTGATGCCAATCATTGATTATGGGGATGTAGTATATGCATCTGCATCGCAATCCCACATTAATAAACTCAACACATTGTATAACTCGTTCTGCTGATTTGTGCTACATTGTAATTACAGGACTCACTATTGTGACATGCTAAAAGAACTAAACTGGCTGTCGCTGGAATCCAGACGCACCCTTCATCTTTCCAGCCTTGTGTTTAAGAGCTTTTCTGGGAAACTCCCACCCTACCTGAACAAAATGCTTTCCCCGGCTGTTCCAACTTCCTATAAGCTCCGATCCAGTACCAACACTTTACTTAGTCTACCTCAATACAAAAAGAAAGCAGCCCGATCCTCCTTCTCCTACAGAGCACAGCAATTGTGGAATGACCTCCCGCACAATTTAAAATCTTCCCTAAGCCTAAAGTCCTTTAAGAGATCCCTCTCTACATACCTCAAAACAGAATGCAGCTGTCATGGTTGATTATATATTTCCTACCTGTTCTATGTTAAATTTTGTATTTATTGTGTATTAATATTGTTTTTGTATTTTATTGTACCCAAATGTAACAATGCAATGATTTGTGGACCCAGGACATACTTGAAAACGAGAGAAATCTCAATGTAGTTTTCCTGGTAAAATATTTTATAAATAAATAAATAAATTCCAGATGATTCCCAGTTCATTGCAGTAAAAATATAAAAAAATTAAACCATAAGTTTACTTTCCTGTCTAGAAAAATGACGGAGTATATATTAGTTCCAAAATAAAAAACAACATAGAAATAACATTTTACAAAATATTATTATTTGTTCTTCTTCCATAAATATATAAAAACACTATTAACTCCCTAAAGAACAGAAATTATAAAAATTCCTTTTAGTCATGTCATGTCATCAACTATCTCAGCCTTGGTGATATTCTATATAGAAAAACAAAGAATTTAATAACCTTCAGTACTTTGTAACCAGAAACAGATCATATCACTTCCACAATATAGCTTTCCTTTAAATTAACTTATAATTGGTCAAATAGAGTAGCTGTTTTTATACTCTATCTATTTGTGTCAGATGTAGAAGCTGAAATTTAGAGAAATTGAGTGAATTTCATCTTGTATTTCATGGAAGATGAGATTAATGTATTAATGTAATATAATGTAGTTTGTGTATTCTTCATCTGAACAAGATGGGAGAAAATAGAATCATGCATTCATATATTCAAAGAGGCATTAATTTGTAAATTTGGAAGGAAGAACAATCTGAAATCTCTGAATGAGTTTTCAGTGTGGCAGGTTTAATGTCATACAATATGTCGAGGCCATGGATAAATGGCAGAACAGAACTATACTCAGTGACATAAAATTGTAATTTTCAGGAAATTATGAATTATGGAAAAGTTTGATGTTAGCACAATAAAAGGTTTTGAAAGGACTCAGTCTTGGAAAGAAAAACATAATCTTAATAAAAAACTAAATAGTTGAATGAAGAGGTCACCATAGAGTGAAAGCATAATTCAATCTAAGTGGCACAGAAAGAGATTTGACAAGCAGACCAATAGCTCTGGAGTCATTCCTGAATAATTCTTGAACTAATCCTAAAAATATTTTGAATTTCCAGATTTTTTTATCTGTAAAAAGCAAGTGAGCAATAATCTTCAAAAATGAAAAGTTGAAATTCAGAGTTAAAGGGACACTAAAGTCACCCAAATGACTCTATCTTAATTAAGCAGTTTCACAGCTCAATTCACTGCCATTTAGGAGTTAAGTCATTTTTGTTTATGTTTATGCAGCTCTAGTCACACTTAATCTGGCAGCCTACATGAAAACAAAATGGCTTCATTGTCAAATAAAAGTTTTTTATTTATAAGCTATTAACGGAGAAGGAGATAAGAAATTCTAAATTAAACAGAATTTTCAGTAAAGGAAATGTAAACATGACTGTTGACTGACAGGGCACAACTGTTTATATGAAGTGTTTAGAAGGCTGTGTAAGTCACATGCAGGGAGGTGTGCCTAGTCCTGCATAAACAACATGATTTATAAATAAATCATGGCAGAGAACTGAGCAGTGAGATTGCAGGGGCATGATCTATACACCAAAACCCCTTAATTAAGCTCCAGTTCTTATGGTGAAAATAGTGTCCTTTTAATTTGGTTAAAATGTTGTGAATCTTTTGGCCAAATTGCTCTCAAATACATGAGTTCATTAGATTAATTTCCTACAATTGGTTTCTCCTTTGGCATTGGTGAATACCTGAATAGCATTTTGTATCAATTTCTTTGAATTCTAAATAAATGTATACTTAAAAGGCCAATATAGAACTTACTGGTTTTCTGTATGCTATTTACTTTTTTTTTTTTTTTTTTAACCAGGCTAAAATGTCAGTTCTTTATTTCAATGTTTTTATTAAGTGATTCTTTATATTATGCCACTAACCAGAATTATAGCAATAGAAAAAAAAAATAAGAACTGCCACCACCATTTTACCTTCAAATAAAGAATGCAAGCATACCATTTAGTTTGGTGATAAAATCCATATCTTGGGGCATACTTTAAAATAAAAGACAAATCACTAAGTATGTTTTCTGGAGAATACTTTGATAATTAATAATGTGAGCCAAAATAGCCATTTATTAGTTGAAGATTAATACTTAAACGGTGAAGTACGTCTTCCTATTTTAGAATATAGAGAATGTTATTGATGATCCATTAAAAAAAACCTTGAAAGCCAATAAAGAATAGCAATTATCAATATAAATATATATGTACTTAATTGTTTATGAAATTATGAATCCCTAGTAGTTAGGAAACCCACTTTTCAATCATTTGTGAAACTCAAACTATGAAATATAGCTCAATAACCAAATCTGGGTGATTCTACTTTGCCTAAGGCTGTAGAATTTGTGATCAAAGTCAAATACATTTTTTTATAAGAATTGTTAGAATGATGAGACAGACAAGAATCATTAGGAAAAAGAAAAACAATACTATACATTTTTAAAAAGAGAATTCATGTTAAAGAAAAGATAACATGCAGAACAAAACTGTATCTGCTACACCTAAGAGTTCAGTGTCATCTCTCCTTGGATTGCAAAATTGCTGACATCATAGGATCTTGAATATGGTTGCTACAGCATGATGTATATTGAGAAATTAACCTATTGGCCCAGTTCTGGTGGCTTAATAACGTGCAAAATGTAGGCAACAAAATTAGCTTAATTGGAGAAAAAAATACATATTTTTTATTAATTTTGTCTTTGTTCATATTACAGTTTACTAAACAAAATCATTAATGCATAAATTACTCAAATTTTTCCTTTTAATGATAATTAAATCATGTTAACCTATATTGACTGATTTTATCAGATTGTGTTATCCACTCACAAAATGATCTTACTTCACCTGTCGGGCTGAGTGGTCAATCAATATCCTAGTCAGGTTCCCACAGTTCTCCATGGTTCGCCACGAACGGTTCGCCGTGGACTCCAGTCAGCTGACACATTCCAGCCAATCAGCAGCAGACCCTCCCTCCCAGACCCTCCCACATCCTGGACAGCATCCATTTTGAAACTGCATTCTTAGTGAGCTGTCCAGGAGGTGGGAGGGACTGGGAGGAAGGGTCTGCTGCTGATTGGCTGGAATGTGTAAACCGCAGCGAACCGTTCATGGCAAACCGCAGCGAACCGTTCGGGACATCACTATTCTCCAACACTCAGGATTATCTTAAAGTTCTGAAGGTCTCATCACTGAAGATTAATGAGTGACACATTGATGATGATGATGATGTTAATGATGATGATGCCAGGGCTGGACTAGGAATTAAAAGCAGCCCTGGAAAAAAAATATTTACCAGTCCCATAATGCGTCGCGCCAGCATAGTGTGCAGATACAGAGTTAGAAAAGAGAACTTAAAATTAAAAATTATTACTCGAAAGTAAAAAAAAACACTCATAGGCTTCAAAATATACAAGTGTAGATTTATTTTAAGCAGACGTGCCTTTGCATGTAATCAATGTTTCAGTCCAACTACCTTGACATATTAAGGAAAGCTTGGTAATGGGACTGAAATGATGAATGTATGTAGGGCACAACTGTAAAAAAATCACGTTATCTTGTTTATATTGAAGTCCTGTGGGTGCGCTCTTCACTTTAAATATGTTATTGTGATGGAGTCTGCATCTAGCAACAAGACTGGGCCAATATCTGCTCATTACAAATGGTACATATTAATGACATTTATCTGAGTATTATGCATATATAAATGTACATTAATATATGTGTAAATATAATGCAACTATGTAACTATGTAACTATGTAATATATATATATATAAAACTAATACACATTAATATATATATAATATACCAGTGGTGGATCCAGAGTCTGATCCCGGGAGGGGCACTTGTAAATTATTTAAAGAAATAATCCATGCTCAATAACCACTACTGCTCTGTGTAGTGGTTATGGTGCAAGGAGTGCCGGGACCCCCTCCCAGAGTAAGTAGTCAAGTAGTTTAAGAACAGTTTGACAACTTATCCGGGGTCTGCTGGGATATGGGGCTGTAGTAGGGTATAGGAGCAGTGGTGCAATGTGTGAGGGGTGCAGTGTGTGTGAAAGGTTCAGTGTATGTGTGTGGGGGGTGTAGTGTGTGAATGTGTAGGGTGTGTGGGGCAATGTGTGTATGGGGGCTGTGTCTGTGTGTGGGGGGCTGTGTATGTTTGTGGGGGCAATGTGTGCGGGGGCAGTGTGTTTGTGTGTGGGTGGGGCAATGTGTGTATGGGGGCAGTGTGTGAATATGTATGGTGTGTGTGGGGGCAGTGTGTGTATGGGGGGCAGTGTGTGCCGCACGGTGCCTGTGGAATGGGAAGGGAGATTGGCTGGCAGGGGAGAGCCTTGTGGGGGGGAATTGCCCTGTTGCCTCACCCCCCAATCCACCAGTGATATATACAGCCCCTATGTGTGTCTCTTTATCTCCAGCCCCTCTGTGTGCCTTTTTGTCTCCCCCAGTCACTCTGTATGTTTCTTTCTTCCCTCACTGCTCCTGTGTCCATGTCTCCCCTCTCCTTTCCAGTCTCTCTATTCCCCCTCTGCCTCTTTCTCCCCCTCCCCTTGTGCGTCTCTCTCCTTTCCCCCTCTGCCTCTTTCTCCCCCTCCCCTTGTGCATCTCTCTCCTTTCCCCCTCTGCCTCTTTCTCCCCCTCCCCTTGTGCGTCTCTCTCCTTTCCCCTCTGCCTCTTTCTCCCCCTCCCCTTGTGTGTCTCTCTCCTTTCCCCCTGTCTCTTTCTCCCCCTCCCTTTGTGTGTCTCTCTCCTTTCTCCCTCTGTCTCTTTCTCCCCCCCTTTCTCCCTCTGTCTCTTTCTCCCCCCTTTCCCTGTCTCTCCCCCACACCTCTGTCTCTTTTTCCTCCCTCCACCATCTCTCTATTTCCCCTCTTTCTCCCCTCTGTCCCTTTCTCCCTCTTTTCCCTGTGTCTATTCCCCCTCTGTTTTATTTCCCCCCTCCCCTTGTGTGTCTTATTCCCATCTTCCCCCTCCCATTGGCCGCATTCCACGCTGGAGCCGCCGGGCCGGGTGGCAGCCACACCGGTCCGGCTGCACTCCTGTCACTAATGTTGAGGAGTGAAGAAGGAGGAGGGAGAAGCATGTCTCTGAACCATGCTCCCTCACGGTTCCCACAATCCCCAGCACAGGAACCGCAAGGGAGCATGGTACAGATACATGCTCCTCCCTCCTCCTTCTTCACTCCCAGCCCACCGGCCCCCTCAGAGTGTTTGCCACCAGACCTGCCACCCAGTGGCACATACATGTGCAGCGCAGCCCCCAGATGCCGCAGCCCTGGGAAATTTCCCGGTATCCTGGTGGGCCAGTCCGGCCCTGGAAGATGCTTAGTATCCCATGTATGATTCGTGGTGGGGCAGAGGTAAGAATATGGTAACCAGATTATTATGTACCCAATAAAAGATAAACGTATTTCGATAGCAATATCAAAATTAGACCAGATCCCTCTCTCAATCAGCAATGTGTTGGGTCCACAAGAGTCTTCATCAAGTCATAAGCTGACATAGTGCATAGCATAATTAAGTAGTTAACAATGCCCATACTTAACAAAAAGTGGGCATTTCACACAGCTCATTTCTTTAGAAATCTTGAGATCAGTACCATAGTTAAATCTAACTCTACCTTTTAATTTATCCTCTGTAGTCTTTCTTGTCCCTCATTAATCAAAGCTGTAAATATCTCTCTTCTTACCCAACCCTTTTTTTTGTTTACCAAAGTCACCATTTTCACATCTTATATTTGTCCTTTTATTACCACCTTCACATTCTCATGCCCAAAACCTTCACAGATTCATACCTTCCTAGTGTCCCTATTTAGAAAGAACAGTCCCTAGTTTAGGCCCCAAACACCCTGTCCCTCTTTTCTATCCCAATGCTTCTCTTTTCTATGAGCTCTATATTGTGGTTGTGTCTGACTGTGTAACAGAACTCCACATCAAATATACTCATAGTATTGTGTGTTTAAACAACAATAAATATGTTTAGAAATCAGTTTGTGTAAAAAGGATACATTGTTCTTGTTCCAAATTACATTTTAATTTCATAAATTGTTATTAGGAAGTCATCACAAAATTCTCAGAACTGTCTTGCCTCTACCCATCCTCCTAGAACTAATGTTGCCTTGTTTGTCCATTTGAAATGTTGACAGGTATGCAGACACGATACATTTTAAGTTACTTTTCTCCACTGAAATCCATTGAGTACAAGCTCTCCAACTACTGCCTCTGCAAACACACATTACTTTCTTAGACCCCTTCCTGTCTCAAACCCCCTTCCCTTATAAGAATTCTCCTTATGCTCAGACTCCCTGTTTCTTCTTAGATCTCACTCTTCCTTTGCAAACCATTTGAATCAGACCCACTAATGCCTAACACATCATTTACTTGTCTTGATGCATTTTTTCTTTTCACAAAAACTAAATCTTAATTTCCCTAGATATGTATATTTTTCCAATTGGCCTATTCGTAGGTCAGTTGATATGAATATTCTCTCTCTATATTGCAATTTAGTTACTCTAATATAAATTGGTCAGAATTGGGGAACATGTCGGGTGCAATTCCTATTATCTAGCAAGAGCAGGGAATTTTGTAAGTCTAAAGTCATTTTTAGATAACTGTGGCATTCATTATTACCCAAAGGAATTAAACAGAAAGGTTAAGTATTAGTATTTCTCCACACTAATTTATCACGTGTTGAGACTGAGTTTATGCAGTTGCAGCCAAAGTAAATAAATCGGAATGGAATTCAAGCTTGTCACCACAACATTTTCTGTAAGGCAGTGTTCATTTTGTGTGCAAATTTCATTTTAGTTTTAGTCATAGTCTTTTGACTAAAAAGCCATTTTAGTTTTAGTCGTATTTTAGTCTTGTGAATTGTTTTAGTTTTAGTCTAGCTTTAGTCAACTAAACCTCCAGTAAATTTTAGACACAACTAAAATTTAATGGGTTTAGTTAAAGCTTCTGACTATTTTGCCCCTTCCTCAACCTCTCTGTGTCTCTTTGTGTCCTCCCAGCCCCACTAGGTGTCTCTCCTCCACGACCCTCTGTGCAGTGTTAATATTGGCAGCAAATTTCGATTTAGTTTTCGTCATAGTATTTTGAATAAAAAGCCATTTTAGTTTTAGTCATCTGAATTGTTTTAGTTTTACTCTTACTTTAGTCAACTAAATCTCAAACATTTTAGTCATCTAAAATTTGACTAAAATTGTTAGTCGACAAAATTAGCACTGCTGTACTAACCATTTTCCATGTATTAAAATGGCAATTTATTTTATGTTGCCATTTTAACATTCGTTTTGAATATACTTGGTACCACTTTCCACTTTGGAGATAAAATGCCAATAATTATTCCATGGGCTTCTGTAAGATTTTCAGTCCAAATGTAACACTTAAACAGAATATAGTGTCAGGGAGAATATAGGTCACTACTAAAATGTTCTCTTTTCAAATATTATTATTTTATTGATCACAAAAGAAAAGTAGGCGAACAAAGGTCAGATAAAATACAGGCTTCAGATTAAATTGCATACCTATGGTGCATAATATCGCGCAGCCATGCGTCACAGATTTCAAGCTTTTTTCTGAAAGCCCTTTCATCCTTGTTAGCTGTCAATCTTGAGTTAAGTATGGCAATTTTGAAACATTCTTTATATCCTTATATCCATATTGTTTATATGCTCTTACAGGCAAGTAACTCATTCTGCTTCTAAATCAGTGTATTTGTACATATGTGTTATAATATGTTTTACACCCCAATATAGCAAGTATCCTGCATTAACTAATGTAGCATCATGTCTCCTTATGTTCTTCAGCCTCGATACCATGGAAAAAAGCATGCATGCTTTACTTTCTGTAGCTCTGTATACAGTCATACAAAATAACCTAAAAGTGGATAGCACTTAAGAAAAACAAATGTGAGTGCAAATAAATTAATAAGCTGCAATCACCTAAAGTGACAGAAATTTAAAAAAAAAACTACAAAAAAAAACAAGTGCTGTGCTTTAAATTATACTTACCAATGGTCAAAGGGAATTCTGTCAAAAATTAACAAACACAAACTAGTGCAGATTAACCTTATTACAAATATAAAATGATTAAT